TCTAGTTCTATAGGCTACACAATCATGGGGAAGACTGCTGACTTGACAGTTGTCCAAAAGACGACCATCGACACCTTGCACAAGGAGGGCAAGACACAAAAGGTCATCGCTAAAGAGGCTGGCTGTTCACAGAGCTCAGTGTCCAAGCACATTAATAGAGAGGCGAAGGGAAGGAAAAGATGTGGTCGAAAAAAGTGTACAAGCAAGAGAGATAACCGCACCCTGGAGAGGATTGTGAAACAAAACCCATTCAAAAATGTGGGGGAGATTCACAAAGAGTGGACTGCAGCTGGAGTGAGTGCTTCAAGAACCACCACACACAGACGTATGAAAGACATGGGTTTCTGCTGTCGCATTCCTTGTGTCAAGCCACTCTTGAACCACAGACAGCGTCAGAAGCGTCTTGCCTGGGCTAAAGAGAAACAGGACTGGACTGCTGGTGAGTGGTCCAAAGTCATGTTCTCTGATGAAAGTAAATTTTGCATTTCCTTTGGAAATCAAGGTCCCAGAGTCTGGAGGAAAAGAAGAGAGGCACTTCATCCACGTTGCTTGAAGTCCAGTGTAAAGTTTCCACAGTCAGTGATGGTTTGGGGTGCCATGTCATCTGCTGGTGTTGGTCCATTGTGTTTTCTGAGGTCCAGGGTCAACGCAGCCACATACCAGGAAGTTTTAGAGCACTTCATGCTTCCTGCAGCTGACCAACTTTTTGGAGATGCAGATTTCATTTTCCAACAGGACTTTGCACCTGCACACAGTGCCAAAGCTACCAGTACCTGGTTGAAGGACCATGGTATCCCTGTTCTTAATTGGCCAGCAAACTCTCCTGACCTTAACCCCATAGAAAATCTATGGGGTATTGTGAAGAAGAAGATGCAATACACCAGACCCAACAATTCAGAAGAGCTAAAAGCCACTATTAGAGCAACCTGGGCTATCATAACACCTGAGCAGTGCCACAGACTGATCGACTCCATGCCACGCCGCATTGCTGCAGTAATACAGGCCAAAGGAGGCCCAACTAAATACTGAGTGCTGTACATGCTCATACTTTTCATGTTCATACTTTTCAGTTGGCCAACATTTCTATAAATCCTTTGTTTTTATTGGTCTTCAGTAATATTCTAATTTTCTGATATGATGAATTTGAGATTTTCATTTGTTGTCATTTGTAATCATCAAAATTAAACAAAATAAACATCTGAAATATATGAGTTTGTATGTAATGTATGAATATAATATACAAGTTTCACTTTTTAAATGGAATTACTGAAATCAATCTACTTTTTCATGATATTCTAATTTTATGACCAGCACCTGTATAAAGAATTACAATTTAAAATAATAAATAACATATATCCTTCAAATGAGTTTTTAAGAGAGAGATTTAAGTTTAATGTTGAGAATTGTGGCTTTTGTACAACTCAATTGGAAACAACTAAACATCTTTTTTATGAATGTAAAGAAGTATTAAACTTATGGGATCAACTTCGAACCTTTCTGTCTTCTAAAACAATAAATTTAGATTTTATTTCCTGGCAAAACATTCAATTCGGTTTATCCATTAAAGAAAAAAAATTTGGAATTTTTAATCAATATTCTAATAATTGTAACAAAGTATTATATCCATAAATGTCGCTATGCAAAATGCTCCCTCTCAATCTCTGCTCTCAAAAATGAACTTTCCCTTTTCAAAAGATGTCTGAGAAAGATGCAGAATTTAAATGCAATTAAATTGTTTGAGTTAATTGAAGAATTTCAGTTGGTAGTCCCCACTGATTAATTTACTTTAAACCCTATTATTATTTTATTTATTTTTATTTATTTTATTTTATACTTTGTTCCAGCCTGTGCATTTAATTTTATTTTTCAAAAGCAGGAGTTGTGATATTTCTTCTTGTATTGAAATATTTGTTATTGACTTGTTGTTTGAGATTGTTATTGTTTTCTTATATATTCAATAACAAAAAAAAAAAAAAAGTGGAAATCTAAAAAAAAAAATTAACCATTACAGCCAACTGATTCTGATTAAAACTAATTTTTGAAGTAAATTATTTTGTGTATTTTCTTTTACATAACATTTGCATACACAGTAATCTAGCGTACTTTAATTAAATAAATCAATTCAAGCTAAAATGTAAGTCTATAATTAGGCTATACTGGGCCTGATCTATTTCTACCATCTATTTGGAGGATATTTATTGCCACACTTTGGGCCACTTAAAACCAATTTAGCATGCTGACCTATGACCTTATGACCACAGTGTACCAATCTTCTGATGGCTACTTCCAACAGGATAATGCGCCATGTTATAAAGTGAATCATCTCAGAATCATTTCTTGAAACTTTTCCACTTAAGTAATTGTGAATTGAGCATATTGACAGACAACATTTTATTTTTTATCTTAAATGCAAATTAAAAAAAAAAAAATTACTGCTCTAAATGTATTGCTCTGTCAGCTAAAGATCTGTTTTGGTCTCTATACTTTAATTAAATAAATCAATTCAAGCTAAAATGTAAGAGGCTATACCTGATCTCTTTGTATCAGAGATTTTCTTACCCAGGGTTGCAGGGGGGGTAAAACCCTGGTTTGCATTTGTATAGCTCACAGCATGTTCATTTACATGTTAAAGCCTCCCCTAGAATTCCATGGGGGGGAGGCATGGGGGGAACACTGCCACGTCAATTTCTGACAATTTACGGGAGTTTACGGCAAGGCCTGCAAATTGCCGTAAACTGCCGCTAACCTGAAGTTCCACGACAATCTACAGTGCCGTATATTGACGAAAATCCCACTTTTCATGCAGTGAGGGGCTGAGTCTGATGGGTAACTTGATGGAGTCTTCTTCCGTCAATAGCGGAAACTCTGAGAGGCTGAGTCAGAGGAATAGTTTCAATCTGGAGTTGCTGGACGAGGTTAGAATCGATTAGGTTACATTCACAGCCTGAGTCGATGAATGCAGAGAAGGAAAGACTCTGGTTAGCACAGAAAAGTGTGGCAGGCAGCAACAGTCGAGGAGATTTCTTAGAGTTTATTTGGCCCGCCAGACTCCTCAGATCCTCTGGCGAGCCCTGGCTTTTGATTTAGCCGGGCAGGCAGCAATGAAGTGACCACTCTCACCACAGTAGATACATAGCTTGCTTAACAAACGCCTTTGTCTCTCCTCTGGAGTGAGCCTGGTGTGTCCCACCTGCATGGGTTCAAAATCTCTTTCGCCCGAATGAGAGGCTTGAACGGGCAACGGTAGAGACTGGGGCTTAGGCCTCTGTACGGGCAGCTGCTCTGTAGAGGGAGAACAACCAGTCACGTTATGTGGGGCAGAATAAAGTGTACCCTGCTTCTTTGAACTGTTTCTGGCTCGAATTCTATTATCTAATCTGATGGAGAGGTGAATTAAATCTTCGAGGGTAGCAGGTTCGTCAAGGGTTGCGAGTTCATCTTTAATGTGCTCGTTTAATGCCATAAAAAAGGCTCCTTTCAAGGCACTTTGGTTCCATCCGGAAGCTGCCGCTTTAACCCGGAAGATAATCGAGAATTCTGCCACTGAAGAGTTTCCCTGTTTAAGAGAGAAAAGAGCTCTCGAATCAATTGTTTGGTCAGTTTCTTGGTTGAAAACCTGGGTAAATTCTGAAATGAAGTCAGAGTAGTAGCAGTTTAGACTGTCGTCAGCAGCAAATCTTGCCTGAGCCCATTCCAAGGCTCTTCCTGTTAACTGAGAGAGAATGAAAGATATCTTCTTGAGATCCGTGGAAAAACAGCCAGGGGAGTTCTGAAAAATTAACCGACATTGAAATAAAAATCCCTTGCAATCTTTCATGTTGCCAGAAAATTTTTCAGGGAGACTAGGACGGAACTCTGATGACGTCACTGCTGGTGACCTCGGAGGAGGAACTGGACCCGGAAATGGTTGTGGTACAGCATTAGCGCTGTTCAGATAATTAGCACAGCTCTGTAGCATTTGGTTATGAGAGTCAACTAGACGGTATAACTCACGGAGCGTTTGAGTTTGTCCCTGAATCTGGGCATCCTGCTCCTCCAGTCGACGGGTGAAGTGATCTGTTGGGCCTTGAGTTTTGCCGCAGTGTTCTGTCATGATGGGTTCACTGGAAGCGACCCAAGAATGCAGAACACCACTGACGGACACAAGGATAAAAGTTTAACAGTTTTATTGATGCACAAGCACACTGAATGTACGGGTTCTGGTTCGGGGCCTGGGTTCAGGTTCACTGGAGTCTTGAGGGTTCTTGAGGTTTGCTTTTGGAGAGTCACTGTTGGTTCTGGAGAAGAGTTCATCAGCAGAGTCCGTTAGCTGCTTCAGCGTCTCACGTCTAATTTGAACAGACCTTGCCTTTGGGAATCCCAGCTCTAGTCCAGAGCTGCTTGGAGGTTCTCTGTGAATCTTCAGGTTTGGCTCAGAGGGTCGGCTCGGCAGGTTAGCTCTTTCAGAGCTTTCACAGAGGAGGCACAGGTTTCCAACTGGAACAACACTGCGGCGTTGAGGCAAGGTCTGAAGACAGCTTAAGTAGTGGATCCTCTGATGATCTAGACGAGCTGCAGCTGTGCAGGAGGCTCCCTCAGAGGATCCACGGCGGACTCTCCTGGAGAAAGGTGGAACTTCTCCAGCTACCAACAGTGAGATACACCCGCATCAAGTAAATAATGGAAGACCAAACTTCACCTCACCTGAGACCAAACCAAGCAATCACCTGAGGTGCAAAAAAATCTGAACACCTGTCCAACCATAACAAATAGACCAAACAAATCTTCACTCTGGCCCCTACTACTATGTTCAAATGTTTTTAAACAACCATGCCATCTGTAATCAGAACAAGCTTCAAAGATGTTCCATTTGGATTCACATTATTAGTATCCTTTTGCACCATATTGTATGTGGTGTAGTCATCAATTGCTGAGGTATTCTAGGATGAAGTCATTTTCTACTGTTAATATCAGCGTTCTCTGCCTTATAGTCTCCTTTTTCTATCATTATTTATTTATCCTGGTATGTTAAGGATATGCCTGTTTTTGTTTTTTATTTTAGGATGTGAGAAAAATGTACAAAAAGTCTGTTCAGAGTCTCCTGAAGAACACCTGCAGCCATTTAAGGACAAGATGGAGGCCTTTGTTCTTACAGGTGAGAATATGTAAAAAAAAAAATCCTAAAAGTGTGAAAAATTTTTCATGAATGGAGGGAGAAAGTATTTCAGTTAAAGAGTAAGTTGTTTTAAGAATAGGGTAGCCCTCGTCCACAATACACTGTTTAATTTTACGGAAGATAATCTGCCGTTATTTATATCAAAGATGTTCATTTTGTGCTTTCTTTAATTTTTTAGGGCACCAACTTTCTTTTTTTATACTTTTTAATTTCTTCTTTTCAGTTCTGTTTTTGCAGATTTTGGTATCATGAATCTACTCTTGTAGAGTACAAACCTTTTTTGTCACTTCTATGTTTAAAATTGGTGAATAATTTTCTTGTATCACACAACTATAACCCTGTTCTAAATCTGCCACAATTGAGGGTTTGTGAACCATGACTGTTTCAGGACATATCAAAGCATCTCAATCATATCTACAGTAAGACTTTAACAAGTGCTCCATTTTTTTATGTGACTTATTCACAGGTAGAGCTTCAGATTTGCTTTTGATTGCTCTCCTGCTGCCTACCTATGTTCCATTCCCTGGCCTAGGGTCTTTCTGTAGTGTAATACCTGACGAGGGTTTACCTATGTTTTATGCAAAGACTGCTGGAGACCGGCACCCTGAAACCCTGAAATCAACGCAGTAGAGGCTGGATGGCTGTTACTGATGCCACTGATGTCACTCTGGGTTATCTATCTTAATTTCTGAAAGAGTCACTGTCTGATGCACCTGAGGAGTCATTTTGGTAGACCAGCTACACTTGGGACTTGATCACTAATGTTGCACGTTTTCTCAACTGGTGGATAATATCTCCAGATTGATCAATGTCGGAATATAATTTCTCTTGTCGGACGGTTCTGTTAAAGCGATGTCTTGAACTTGCAGGAGTTTCTAGTGACACTGAACTTATTAGTGATTTTACCAGGGGACTGGTTGATTACTTATACATGGTCCGGTTAGTTCAGCTAATTTTGAGACAGCATTTTATTTTTAACAGACAGTCTTTGTCTAGTTTCTTCAACATTATCTTGATTGCTATGATATCTTCATCTATGGAAAAACAGTTTCTGATTATTTATTTCAAAATTCTTCTAACAGAATTACTGTAATCGGTAGGCTGCCTAAATAATCTTTCTAGACTATACTTATCAGATAAATGCTGCTGTCATCACTAACGTCCTAAAACTAAGAAGCCATCTGTGTGTGAGGGAGATAGGATGGACTTTGAGTAAAGACTAGACATCCATATAGGGATCAGGAAGATCCGTCAATGACCGGATAACTTTTATTTAACCTCTTTTTTTTACCACCAAGCTTTTTCAGGTCCTATTTTACAGCCAAAATATTTTATCTACAGTGCTGCTTGAATTATAAGGATTTATTTCGGTGCCATAGCTGGATGAAAGGTGGTTCCTTTTACATGTCACATTAGAATATGTTGACCATGACATGATCTGAGTTTGCTGCATTAGAAATTCTTCTGAGGTCTGGGACAGACTCCTAAAATATTTAGTGAGAGACAGGCACAGATAATAAGTAGAAGGACTTATTTTCTAAAAATGGCATTGCATTCGGAACAATGGCCCCACTGTCGAAAGAGTCACTGTGTAATTAAAGTTTTTAACAGATTGAATGGTCTGGCTCCATTAGACTGTGTTATCATCATACAAGAGCTCCTAAGAAAAAAACTTGAAGAGGTAGTAAAATGTCTCCAGAGGAGGATTAAACTAAATGTTTCTGTTTTTTCTTTGCAGCTCGAAAGGAGCATGCAGAAACTTCCTATCAGCTGATGACTGTGCAAAAAAGGTGTGCTAATTTAACTCTTACATACAGCAGCTTTTTTCATTTCAACACAGTCTATTAAAGCAGTAATTTAAAAAAGCAGTAGTTTCTTGTACACTGATAAAGGAAATAGCACCCTGATTTCTGCCATATTTGTTTTATTATATGCCCCCCAAAAATTTATAATATAAACTTTATCAGAAAATCCACCCCTCCTAACATATTCATCATAGCATATAGGGGAAAAAAATCACTATTTCTCTAGTAAATAACAAGCTTGGTCTGCAGCTGCTGTTTAGAAATAAAAGAAAATGTCTAAAAACCTATTTAAAGACAAAAGCCAAAGCAGTTCTTGCTTAGACTCTTTTTTTAAATCTTTTTTATACAGCAGTGATAAAGGTCACACCATTATAACTTAGCATCAGTAAAACAGGGATGGATATTTGAGGTTCTTTGACTCAGTGTTTATTATTTTTAGTGATTTCAAAACTCCTCTTGCCTTTCTTTTAATTTCCTTTCACCACTTACTGTACAGATGTTGCTTTTTTGTTGGTTGTTTGTATTTATTTGTTCAGTTTTTTGTTTTTAGACTTCCATCTAATCTTCTATACTTATTTGGTATTCGTATCCACTGGCAGATCCTATTTTTTATTTTATGTTGTGGCAATTTAAATTTTGTTTGGACTATTCAAGTTTTCTTGATTTATTAATTTTTTTATCTAATATCTGCTTATCGCCTTCTTTTTTCTCAGTTTGTAACTTTTTGTTAAGATTATGTTCGTATAAGTCAGACCTCTGAAGTAAAGCATCAAATTACATGTCAGTCAGTAAAATCTAGTTAACTATAAATTACCAACATCATTCTGGGTGAAAACATAGTTTTACTGTAGTGATCTGACACTCAATATCTTTATTTTCTTGTTTTGTGGTTCCATGGGAAGTGTCCTCTTGTCCTCCCATTTAAAAGAGGGACTAAAATATTGTGTGCCATATTACTGTATATTTAGGGCCAAGGGGAAAGAAGAGGAAAAAAAATGTAAATTTTTAAGGAAAGTTATTTAAACTAAAGTTTATTAGACTCTTTTTGTTCACAACAGTTATGCTGGTTACACCATGATAACAGCATTAGTGAAGCAGTGATGGATATTAAAGGTGCTTTGGCTCAGTGTTTATTATCTTTAGTGATTTGAAAGAATTCTTGTAGAATTTTGTGAAAAAAAGAACTTAATATAGATTTTCTTCCAAATATTAATGAAATATATTTATCATATTTATGTACGCTTCTTTCAAGTAAAACATTGATTTACTTGAAAGTTTTTAAGGCATCTTCATCAGGCTTAACAATAAGTGTTTAGAGTGAATAATAAAACCATTCTGTACTCATTTTTCACTGTGATCAGTTTTCAGGACGTTGCCTTATACTTCGGCCTCAAACCCAAACCTGGAGAGACGGAGGTGACAACAGGTCACCTCTTCATGCTCTGGTTTGAATTCTGTGCTGACTTCAAGGCCAGATGGAAGCGGGAGAACAAAAGCATCTCAAAACAGAGGTTTGTATAGATGTTATATTTTCAGTTCACTTTCTTTCAGCTCCATTTTAATTTATTATTTTGGTCATCCGCTAAACTAGTATGTGACATTGTGAGGTTTTCATTGTACCATTCTGCAAGACATTTATCAGGACAGTGTCCTGATAAATGTCTTGCAGAATGGTACAAAAAGGATTGGATGTCCTGAGGACACTGTCCTTGGTCATAATCCAATCCTTTTTCCAAACCATTCCTTCTAATGTCTTCTACGTGTCCACAAGTCCTCTAAAACAGACTTCTGATGCCTCAAACTAACAGCTTGTTTCTGCAACAAAGTCTCCAGTTTAACCAATCCATAAACTATTTAAATCCATTTAAACAGGTTAAAAGAAGCTCAGATGTTAGTGAAGAGGCTCACTGGAGAGAAAAAGGTGGAGACAAGAAAGATCAACCCCAACAGTCTGGTAAAACTGAAGTAAAATTCAGACATTTAAAAATGCATCTCTTAGTAACATGCAAATCAAGACAATTAATCTGATCTAAAAGGTATGTTTAGGCTACTGCTCTTGTTTTCACTGCTAATTTCATAAATTTCTTCCAACAGAAGGAGCGACTGCGTCAGAAAGAAGCTCAAGTGACTTCAACTTAAAACAATCCTGACTTAAAATATTTAGATATCCTCATAAAACTGGAGCTGACTAATACAGTTGTTGACCAGGATGAAAAATGTACATTTTCTTGGTGGACCAGAAATTGTTATATTTGTTCTTTCATGTCACCACAACACCACAACTTTAACTGGAAGTTCACTATAAAAAAAAAATGCAGTTGGTTAATTTGTTACTGTTAAAGACGTTTTATGAACTAAAATACTCATTGCATGGATTTTTTTTTATTACAAATAAAAACCAACATTGGACAATAATTATGAGAAAGTGTCTTTAATGATTTTTTTTATTTACAAGTGGCTTTAAGAAACAAAGACAAATCATTGATGGCCGTCACATTGGGTAGCATCAGGTGTGGGGATAAAATAATAGAAATAAAAATAACCCAATAAATTAGATTATTTAAAGAAATATTCATGGATTGATAAATGAATAACTAAAATTCATTTTAATAACTAAAATTAATTCATTTATCTGTCCATCCAAAAATCACACCCAGAACCTTGTTGCTGCAAGGCAACTTTGTTACCCACTGCTGCACTGTGTTATTTTAGTAATGTTTCAATGTACAGGTTATATATTTCTTCCTTATACACAGAAGATGATGTGATGCATTTATGTTATGTGTTTAGTTGGGGGTGATCATTGCAGAATTTATGCAATCCACAAATTAAATGTGTTTGCAAACAAAAACAAAAATACACCAGGCAATACAAACAGGATTTTTTTTCTGCATAAATTTAAAGTTATATTCTACATAAGGGAATTACTGCTTAATTGTCAAGCTGAAAACCACTCAGATCATCAACAATAAAGACATAAAAGGCCTTTAAATAATCTGGGCTATCAGTCTGCTGCATCCAAATGTATTGATGAAAAGTTGAGTAGATGGGAAAAGTCTTTACCATCTAAACGTGACCATCTGTTACACAGTTCTCTAAAGTGCTCAACTGATTCTTTGGAGCCATTAGCAAGATCTTGGTCAATGTGGTGCATTTTTTCCCCCGCAGATGACCAAAGAAAACATTTACTTAGTCCTATTTTAAGGAGTCCAATATAAAATGTTCATTAAAGTTCCTTTCTCTGTTGCCCCAACTCTAACATTTCCTTTTTCTCTCCTTGAATCAAAGTGTAATCCAGCGGGGGTTCAATCAGTTTTAATATTAACGCAGCGACACTGCTTTACGCGTTGGATCCGCTTCTTTCGCGTACTGGGCGTCTGTCCCGGGCAGAAGAGGGTGTATGTAACGGTGCTGAATGTTTTTGGTTTGCAAGCGGAGCAGGACTGAAAGATGCTGATCCCATCATGCTGGGAATTCCGAGGGATGTAGAAAGAGTTGCACTGTCCATAACAAAAGCGGTTGATAATGCTGCGGCTCAGGCAACCTTCCTCCTGGATTGTCTGCTTCAGCGGCTGAGTCTTGCACCAGTCCAGCCGCAGATATCTGCGCTCTGTCACGTGTAGCGCCTCCTGGCTGGACTCCAGGATCTCATCCGTTGAGGCTATGGAAGCGGCGCCGCGGGAGAAAAGCGCCCCGATGGGTGACTGTAGACACCCCTCTGATTTATTTGGTGCGTATTTGTTCGGATACGGGAAGGCTCCTTGGAATGTATCGGTGTCTGCACTGCTCGGAGGTGATAATAGCAGAGCCAGGACTGCTTTGAAGATCAGCCATGAATAAGAACGCATCATTGCAGCTGAAAAGGAAACAACAATCAGGCTCCGATGGAGAGCATTTTACGCACAACTTTTACGCACGTACCGTACATCAAATTAAAAGTGTTATTCCAAAATCCAGGAAATATTCTGTCAGTGTAACTCCATTTACCTGCTGTGTGTTCAATCCCCAAAGAAAACTTTGTCCTGTCAAACAGTCAGCAAGATGTGCTCCCATAAGAGCCTCTGATGTGGCTTTAGAAAGAACCCCTCCGCCCCTCCCAACCGCAAACCTCACTTTATCTGTATGGAAACGGGAAGGTAGAAGAAAAAGAAAAAAACAACAAACGTTTCCAGACTTTGTCAATGCAGATAAGTCGTTTATTTGACTTTACAGAACAAAAACGGAACACAAACATTTTGACAAGATGCAATGAACAAGATAAGTCACTGCAACCTGAAGAGACTCAAGCTGCAGAATATTCTGCAAGTAGTTGCCATGGTGAAGATGTTCATAAGCATATTTCAATAAAACAAAGCCAGACTTAAGAATATAACTTTACATTTGAAGAACATGTGACTCAGGTTGGGACAAAAAAAACAAACAAACATTAAATGCATTTAAACTGATCTCTGTCCAAATATAACAAAGATGGAATGAATTAACCCCCAAATATATCAAATCTTTATACATCTGTGAAAAAAAGAAGAAAAAATTTATTTTATTCTCCACTTTGGGGGTCATATCTGTAATTATAGGATATTAGAATACCAGTTTTTAGACTCTACCCACTTCAGATGGCATTTATCATAATTTATCTGTTATCTGGATGTTTTAGTCTCGTTTTATTTTTAGAATTCTGTTTAAAACTCCAAAACAACTCAATGTCTTGTTTATGGTGAAACATATTTTCTTCACAGTATTTCTATCAAAGCATTTGCCAAATAAGTACAAATGTTCAACAAGACATCTTTTAATAATTCTTTTGTATGAATATAAGACCAATTAAATGCATAAAAAATTATGGCAAGGTTATATTTTTGAAGTATATGAAATACAACATCAACACCTCCAGCATTTGTACCAAACACAAAATCCCAATAACTAGTGATAGTAAGTCTAAACATTTATTAGAGATATATATTTATATTTTCTGAGTTCGAACTCCTATATATCAGATTTTGGGTGTACTGGGAGCTGTGGTGGTTGATGCTTGGTTCTCTTCTTCCTCTGAGAAATTGGGAACAGATTTCTTGGCGACCACATTGTCCAGCCTCTGACCCAGTAAATAGGGGTTGACGCTCTGTGGAGGCAAACATACTGGTTTATAAAACAGCAAAATTATATTGAAAAGAAAAGATCTGTGTCTCTAATTCAACATAATCTATTATGTATCTAGACCCACATTTATACAGTCAAAGTAATAATTAGATATTTGTCTTTTGGGACTTTTCTTTCACAACCTTTCTGTTAGCATCAGCACCTCTGAAATAATTCTCATCTTCATAAACTGGTTGACGAAACTTTGTTTCCTACGGAAGAGGATTAGGGCCACTAAAAAAAAAAAAAAAAGTTAACTGATTTTAAAATTTTATTTCATTTTAACATGGGGAAAAAAGTCAGAATTCTGACTTTTTTCTCAGAATTCTGACTTTTTTCTCAGAATTCTGACTTTTTTCTCAAAATTGTGACAGATAAACATGTTAGCATCAAGCCATGTCTGTTTTAGAGACCAGCTCTCTTGTCTTAATGACCCTCTGCTCCTCCATTAATTAGGGGACCCTTTGGGCACGTAAAAAGTTGCCTAATTCCGTCATTTTCCACCAGTGTGTCGTACGAACGTACGAAATAGTGTGCATAACTTTTTGTACGATTTCATACGCACTCATAATGAGAATATGTTGAATCAGTTGTGATGCATCACTCTCCCATAGTAACACAAAGAAGCAAAGTTTTAACCACCTACTGTAGCTGTTATTTTGGGTGTGAATTTTAAGAATTCGGGGGTAATCTTTGTCTTAATATTTGATCTACTTTGTGAAATGCATCAGTACCACAGGCGGTTCCAAGAGACCCACGGTATGATGCCACCACCACGTTTGACAATGTTTCCCCATGTTTGAAAGCCCTAAACTGATTTTGCAAACAAACATTCTCCTTATTATCGTGGTCCGGTAGCTAAACGATTAGTAGCTCACTGTCGTTTAGTCAGAACCTTTAACTTTCCTCCAGGAGACATTTGGTTTCCTGGTTTCGATGCAGCTAGATTATGGAGTTGATACTGTTAATGCATCATCTTCCAGTGTCAAACAGGAGGGAGTTATTTTTTTGTTTTTGGTCTGCAATTAAACATTCAAACAATCTTCCTTTCATGTAAGAATTAAATGATTTGGTGAAAAAAGTGAAAACCTGGACCCAGAGAGATTTGTAAACAGAGCGATGTCTCCAAACTTAACTGGAATTTGAATAGAAACAGCAGGATACCATTAAGCTTATGTTTTGAGCCTAAGCTTAAACATCTTTAAAAGCAAGGACTGTGCTTACAGCTTTTGCACCATATATTTGTACAGAGCTATGCACATCTTAAATCATTTTACCCTGGAAAAAGAGAAGTTCATGTACAACCTCATTGCAGTGCTGAGTGTAACCTTCTGACTTTAAAATTGTTTTAATTAGGTAGTAATCTACACTCACCAGCCACTTTATTAGGTACCCCATGCTAGTAACAGGTTGGACCCCCTTTTGCCTTCAGAACTGCCTCAATTCTTGGTGGCATAGATTCATCAAGGTGCTGGAAGCATTCCTCAGGGAGTTTGGTCCATATTGACATGATGGCATCACACAGTTGCCGCAGATTTGTCGGCTGCACATCCATGATGCGAATCTCCCGTTCCACCACATCCCAAAGATGCTCTATTGGATTGAGATCTGGTGACTGTGGAGGCCATTTGAGTACAGTGAACTCATTGTCATGTTCAAGAAACCAGTCTGAGATGATTCCAGCTTTATGACATGGCGCATTATCCTGCTGAAAGTAGCCATCAGAAGTTGGGTACATTGTGGTCATAAAGGGACGGACATGGTCAGCAACAATACTCAGGTAGGCTGTGGCGTTGCAACGATGCTCAATTGGTACCAAGGGGCCCAAAGAGTGCCAAGAAAATATTCCCCCCACCATGACACCACCACCACCAGCCTGAACCGTTGATACAAGGCAGGATGGATCCATGCTTTCATGTTGTAGACGCCAAATTCTGACCCGAATGTCGCAGCAGAAATCGAGACTCATCAGACCAGGCAACATTTTTCCAATCTTCTATTGTCCAATTTCGATGAGCTTGTGCAAACTGTAGCCTCAGTTTCCTGTTCTTAGCTGAAAGGAGTGGCACCCGGTGTGGTCTTCTGCTGCTGTAGCCCATCTGCCTCAAAGTTCGACTTACTGTGCGTTCAGAGATGCTCTTCTTCCCACCTTGGTTGTAACGGGTGGTTATTTGAGTCACTGTTGCCCTTCTATCAGCTCGAACCAGTCTGGCCATTCTCCTCTGACATCAACAAGGCATTTCCGCCCACAGAACTGCCGCTCACTGGATGTTTTTTCTTTTTCGGACCATTCTCTGTAAACCCTAGAGATGGTTGTGCGTGAAAATCCCAGTAGATCAGCAGTTTCTGAAATACTCAGACCAGCCCTTCTGGCACCAACAATCATGCCACGTTCAAAGTCACTCAAATCACCTTTCTTCCCCATACTGATGCTCGGTTTGAACTGCAGGAAATTGTCTTGACCATGTCTACATGCCTAAATGCACTGAGTTGCCGCCATGTGATTGGCTGCTTAGAAATTAAGTGTTAACGAGCAGTTGGACATGTGTACCTAATAAAGTGGCCGGTGAGTGTAGAAGTGATTTGGTGCTTAGAGAAAATAAATGAAAAGCACTTTAGTGTCCTTCCTCAGACAAATTTCCCTAAAAGTGAAAAAGTGTTTAATTTAAAAAGTGTTAGAAATATTTTACCCTTTTTCTTCTCTTTGGTCCTCCCTTCAGCTTCTGGTATAGAAGCTCTTTGTTCTGTGAGAAGACAAAATAATTATTTATAACAAAAAAAATAAAGTTGCATATTTTTGGATAATAGTATGGCCACATGCTCCCAACTAAAATAAAACAAGGTAAAAATACTTTTAACAGGTCATAAAAGTTCTAAACTAAAGGTATCAAACTAAAAACAGAAATCGAAATGTAAAAATAAAATAGTCTGCTTACTGTGCAAAAGCATTGTTCTGTGTCTAGTTCTACTTTGCAGAATAAACAGAAACCATCATGTTGTACAATTAACATCTCAATCTAGAGCACATTTCCTGTTTTTTGTCCAGTTTAAGTTAATAGGAAAAAAAAAATATAAAAGAAATAAAGAAAAAAAATCTGATCTGATAAAAACCAATCAACTTCTGATCAGAAAATACATAATCTTGTGTGTTTTGGAAGCTTATAGTATTTGCTACATTTGTACTCACCCACTTCCCCCGAGCTGAATAGTCATGCTCAGGGTCAAACAGATGCTGGTGTTTCTGGAACTCCCTGCTGAACTCAGCTGTGTCTGGAGCATTTTCCAAGCATCCGTCTGCTGCTGTGAGCACAGAAAGACAGAAATAGTGTTCTGCTAACTGAATAATGAGAACAACAGATGGACAACAGGTAACACTAGAGAGATTCTAGAAATTATTAATTGTTCTTATTTTATCCCTACAAAAAAAACGCTTTAACAAATCAGATTTGGAGTTATTTCCTTAAGCCATTTGTAATAAACTTAGATATATGCTTTGGGTCATTTTCTGTTTAGAAGAGCCATTTGATTTTACCTGTAAAATTCCTAACTTAGATCTTAAGATATTTTTTTCCATACAGTATCCTCAGATGTTTTTCTTGATGCCATCTATTTTAGAACTGCTCCATTCTCTCTGGCAAATCACCCTTATAACCTAGTGTTGCGACCATGGTTTTTCTTAAGTATTTAAGGTTCTTCTTTCATTTTCCCGACAATGTTGCAGTGGTTATTAAAGCAAAACCTTTTTTTTTTTTTCTCCACGAGACAAAAGGACATATCTCCAGATATCCAGACCTTCGATTTAAAGCTTCTTCCGGTCTGAATGGAAGAATTATTGGTCAGATTAATGTTTTCAACTTCAGGCATCTGGAAATCTTCCCAAAGGATAAAACTGACTTTTGAAACTTCCCAATTCCCTCATTAATAATAAAGCTACAGATTTAATTGAATTTTTCCATGGTTTTACATTAAAGGCAGTGTGTTTGAGGCATGTATCAAATTTTAGCCTGTCTGGAATTAATTAATCAAAACAAATAATTGAAATGTTATGATTTATCAAATAGATAAATATCTTTATTGGGCTTTTATAAATTGTTTAACGGTCCAGTAATCTTACTATAATTTAGTTGCGTTAAGAAAGTAGTGCTAAAAAAGTTACACTATACAAACAGTATTGGGTGACATCAAATGAATAAGTTTGGATGGCCTGATCACTTCCATGGCTGCATGTGTAAAAAGTTTGGTGTGAAGAAATTTTACTGGCATGCAAAGAGTCCTGGCCTGAAACTTCTAGAAGAACGTTTGGAGGAATAAGAGTGGAAACTGCATCTCAGGTTTACTTACTGAGATAGTGGACTCTTATAACCTTGGTCTTCACCTGAATAACAAACTGGACTGGACTCACGATACTGAGGCTTTTTACAAGAAGAGTCAGAGCAGACCCTTCCTGCTGAGGAGACTGAGGTCTTTTGGAGTGCAGGGTGCGCTCCTTAAGACCGTCTATGACTCTGTTGTGGCATCAGCCATCTTTTATGGAGCAGCTCAGTGCAAGAGGTGGGAAACAGATGGATCCAAAAAAAATTAACATCTGTTGCTGAACTGGAGAGCTCCTTCAGTGACAGACTGCTGTACCCTAGAGGCACCTGCGAGCGTTATCGCAGATCCTTCCTCCCAGCAGCTGTAAGACTCTATAACCACCACTGTTCCCAACAACCTTAATAAGTTGTTGTATTGATGCTGAGTTTTGCACAGTCTTTGTCTTAAGGGCTGGTTATCCTCCCGCAGCGGTGTGTCCCAGTGAGCTTGTTGCAGATATTTTACATTTATGCCCAAAATTGAAGCGTGGTGTAGGCTATATTATTCCACGCCAATACGCAAGAGGGACAATCACGAACTAGCTGTGTATCTAGATACACCGGAGGCAGTGAAGAAGTGGGGGCAAGTTTGTTCGACAATGAAGGGACATGAGGGCGAAAAAGAGCTGGGATCAACGCTGAAAAAGGGTGCGTTCTCTCACACATTGCTCTTCTAGCTGGTCCATCTAAACGAGTCATTTTTCACAATGGCGGTCATAAGAAAACAAGCCGGTAAGGTACCAAACAGGAAATATGCATAGTGTAGAGCGGATGTAGATTTGACCAATCAGAGACCTCCTGTCTGCAGCTCTGACTGCAATAACCTACAATTTTGGAGAGGTGCACCAGAGTGTCTGAGCAGGGGGTATCTGCATTAATTCCAACACACATGCAGACAACCTGGTTTCTGAGTATAAATCAGTTAAATAACTTGCTGCTGTAATTTCATTTTTTTTTTTTTTGCACATCTCTGGGGTGTTGCTATTTTTCACATATCCATTAAAGCAAAAATGTCCACAGCTGTTGTTACTTTTTATTATCGAGATACAGATTATTGTATTGTAAAACACTGTAAAGTACAATATGCTGTTTTCTTACGTGTTATTTTTATACACTTTTCTAAGGTACACATTGTGTGGCCACCTCTAGTATAACCTTTGCTGTTTTAAACACCACAATTTCCCCATTGTGGGAAATTAAATGGATTTTCTATTCTATTTAAATGTTTAAAACACAAATAAATCATGTGGTAAATGTTTAAAGCATAGTTAAAGTTGATAATGCTGGGAACAGGGTCTTAGGTATCCATAAAAGTATAGAAAGAAATACTTTCTTTGCAATGTAATATAATCCCTTTTATGTTTCTAGATCAATTTTAAATGTTGTTGTCTTTGCAAATGTTTCCTCTGCTGGTTCAAGAGCCATCGGGGCAGGAAGATTAAATGGGGCTTCTACCTGTTTTTCCCAGTGGACAGGGGTTTGGAGGATCCGGGTAGCTGTGGTCGTCACTAAAGTCTTTGGGAACATTGTCGCCTGTCAGCTCTGCCACAATATTGGGGATGTTGCCATAAGGACCCAGGTGCTGCAGGCCTTCATGAGCACCACCTAGTGGAAACAGTTGGTATTACACCCATGAGCTTTATTTTTTATTTTATTTTTTTACACAAACTTGAGGCTTATTTACCAAACACTGGGAATCAATCTGAGTGTGATGATGCTACTTCTGGGTCAAAAGACAACATAAATATGACAGACTAATCAAAACTGTCAGGTAAAGCACAGATACATTTGTAATAAAGAATGTCCTGTCATATAAATAATGTGTCTGCTGATTTTTTTTTTTTCGTGTGGAGAGCCTGTTGGCTAATAAACAAATAATTATATATATATATATATATATATATATATATATATATATATATATATATATATATATATATATATATATATATATATATATATATATATATAATTGTTTATTTGTTCCAAATGAAAATATAGGCTTTAAAAAAATCAAATCAGTCAATGATTACCCTGAATGCTCTGAGGCCCGACGATGTTTGTGGCCTGATGTGCGGGGTACTCCACCCGGGGCCGAGCGATGCCCAGCTGCTCCATGACGCCGTGCAGCAGCCGCTGGATCTCAGCCTCTGACACCTGGTTCACCGCCGTCCGCGGACTGCGGGCTGCGGCTCCTCCGAGCTGCAGGAACAGGTGCAGTCCGAGCAAGAAGAGCCGCACCGCGGATCCAATTTCTGCCATCTGTTGGGGGGAGAAGTGCTACATTAACATCTTTGGACAGATGACGCATAATCAGGAGCAAACAGATTGTTTCCTCATCACATCAATGAGATGATCCACAGCAAGCCTCCCATATAGCAGCATGGGGTTGGTTATTTGTTTTTAAAATGGACCAACGTGATGCGCCATTCTATGAACAGCAGGTATAACCCCGAAAAAAACAACATTAAATAATCCAGTCAAAGGGTTTTAATATGTTTTAGTTTATAAAACAAACGAAAGCACTAAAAACAGCAATAAGTTGAACAACTTAAATGTCTGTTTTTCTTACCTTGGATGCGTAGATGGAGGGAAATGGTTATTCCATCAAGCAAGTCATCATAAAAAGAGGGTTCTCCGTTTTTCTTTCAAAGTAAAATTGTATATGCCGCGTCATCTTAAATTTCAGATCATGTAAAGAAAATATCACAGCTTTAAAACAAGAAAGCATTTGTATGCGGTGACATATGCATCAAGGCCTGAACACCGATGTTTAATCAATACCAGTATCAATTATGATAAGAGACGATCCTGTTTTAGATTTAAAAAAAGAAAAAAGGTGCGCTGTAGCCTAACATTTGTCCGACTTTGCAAAAACGTAAAAAAAAGGTGAATCACAAAAAAAAAGAATATATTTATGCGTTGCTTTTGAGCCTTTAAAGTTTAGCTACGTACAAAATTGTGCTTTATTTTGAAAGAACAGGTCTCATTTCCGATAGTATGCAACGTGTAGAAACGCTTTACCGATCAGATGCAGTTGCTAAGAAACCAGACTTCCTTTTCCCCCCATTGGCTGTGCAGTTTTGACCACCTACAGAAATTAGCTGACTTCTCAGATCGAAAAGTTGTTAGTGTCAACATTAACAAAATAAGAGCAACAGATTTGACTAAATTATATTAGCCTTTTCTTTAATCTCATTTATATAGGCCCACAGCACCTGTCAAAGATATATTTTAACCTTTCAAATTTTGTCATGGTAGGCTATAATTACAATGAGTTCTACTATCCAGAGAAGATGATTAAACAGGGGTTCCTACCTACAGTTTGTGAGAAGTGCAAAAATACACACCAGGGGTTTTGGTTTTTATAATTAAATGCTTTGCTTTATTTGAAATTTTTTTATTTTTTTATTTTTTTAAGGTTCCAACTTGACCAGCATCACCCATTTCTGTCAAGTAGTGACATCTAGCAGGAAACACTGGCTCTGTTCGAAAACCTAGGACGCATCCTTAGAAGACCGGATTCGAAGGCCGATTACGTCATAGCGCGGCGCCGAGGTCTGGTCGGATTCCAAGAGTCCTCGTTATGCGGCCTTAAAATGCGTCCTCCTTTTTGCCCGATTTGAAGGACGGGTCTGATGTATCCTCGGTATTCTTGGATATCCCAGGATTCATTGCGAGACCAAGCAAGCTGTGATCAGAGTAAAGGTTACTTGGCGCCGAACAGTGGTGAAAATTGGAAGTTCAGTTTAATATAATACAAGTCATTTAATAGTTCTGTCTGAGATTAATGAAAAATAGTTGTTTTAATGGTTATAGAGTCAGATATGTGGCGGTAATGTTTGATTTATCTAAAGGTTTTATCTGTTACTGTGTAAATGGGTTTGACTGGAATTTAAGGACAGATTATATATCTGCAGCGTGGGGACTATAAATCTGATAGGATTTTTATCTTTTGCTTAACTACGTATTTTTTGTTGTTGAATATTAGAGATTTTGCAGATATATTTTTTATAAATACATTGTTTAGATTTACTTATATCTTTCTAGCCCTTTTATAGAATAGAAAATCCCTTTATTGTTCCACGATGGGCAGATTTACAGCAGCAGAAAGATTATTGAAAATGGTCACACAAAGTGGACCTTAGAAAAATGTATAAGAATAACATGATAGGGAAGAGTTAAAATATAAACAATACAATACTGTAAAGTGTTTTAACAATATAAAACTGGGGAATAAATAACCAATATGCAGCTATGGACATTTTTACAGTAATGGACATTCGAAAATAGCAGCAACATCAGAGATGTGCAAAATGACAGCAGCAGGTTATTTAACTGACTAAGGTTTCTATCATTACATTTGATTTGATTTGTTCCTGCTCCCGGCTGTTGGAACATTTATTCCACTCTGGATTCTTGTGAGTGTAGTCTCTGTTTACTTCACAATAAAAAAGAAATAAACAGTTTTGAAAACTTCTGTATTCATTCTTTTCCTGCTTTGTGTGTCAACGTTTACGGTTGCTAAGCAACAGAGCATACGGCGGTAAAACCCGCCGAAGGGTAGACCTGGTCGAATTCACAGCCTAAACTCTTCCGGTCTCCTTATTTTCAAGGATTTCGAAGGATCCAGTCCTTGGAGGACACGTCCTAGGTTTTCGAACAGAGCCACTGTCTGGATGCAGCACAGCAGCCCAGACTACTTGATTTAAGGGGAACACCGTTTTTTTGCTGGCGTACCATAAAGAATAAATTATGAACAGTTTAGTTTGTGCCTTCAAGTCATTGCCCATAGGAAGAAGTTACTTGGATATAACCTAACCGAATATCTTCAGAAAAGCTCCAAATGACACAAAACTCATATGGGTGAGTAGAACATGATGTAATAACGTAAAATCAAGGGCCCAATGTAAAAAAAGACAGCGTTCCCCTTTAAGTTCCTTTTGCTCCACTTATCTGCAACAAACTCCCAGAAGTCTAAAAGTGCTAAAAGCCTGAGTTTGTTAAAGTAAAAAAACTGCCTTTGACTTTTTTTAACTGATTAATAATTAGTTTAAGACTGCAGTAAAAGAGTTGTGATTTAGGTTTCCTAAACTTTAAAAACCATACCAGATGTACCATGATAAAATGTGGATATAAAGAGAATTCATATTTGCAAAATACTAGATTTGAAAGAATGCAAGCCCTGTTGACCAAGTCAAGAATAGGAAAACAACAGTGATACATTATAACATTTATTTAAATAAAAAACCTCGACAGATATTCAGATAAAAACAGTATTCAGAAATTGACATGGAACATACAGTAACATTTCAAAGATCATGGTAAAGAACGCCTCCTCCAGTTTGTGAATTGAAGTCTATCCATGGCACTGAGCACAGAAATCTTGTGCGCATTTTTGGAACCTGCCAGTGCAGCTGCAGGTCTGAAACCTGGATCTAAAAACACTTGCGGATCAATACTTTATATGCAAAACAAAATTAAAACTCTAAAACCATGTTTACCTGCAATAGGCATGCAAATCCTAAACGGCTGAATATTGGGGAAGGACATCAGGCCAAGGCTTCTTCTAAGCTTGGGTCCATCACCTGATGTGGAGCTTTGAGTCTGAAGAGAGGCTGCAGGCCTTACCTTTGGTTTACTCTGACTCCAGGAAGAAGTCTTCATGGGTGCTTATAATAAGAAATTAAAAGCAAATTTAAATTAAGTTGTGTAACATGTAAATGTCCAAGCAATAACTGCTAGTATTTTACCTTTTAAGCTGTGTCTCTTTCCATTTCCCTTCTTCTTGAACGCATCCTTTAGAGGATGGATATTCATTAAAAAATCCATGCCATCTATAACGTGTTTCGGAATCACGCCTAAATGGAATTTGTATAAAACAAAGTGAGGAGAGACGTCTCTTAAGGAAATCCTACATAAGTGAATTATTCTGTTACCAAATATATGAGGATGCTCCACAAAAGTACGCAGGACAAGAACTCTAAGTTCAAGTCGTCCTTCAGACATTTCCACCTTGTTTGGAGGCGGTAAGAGACAGGGAAGGAAAACTGTGGCCAGATTAGAGCTGGTCATCAAGTTGTCAGAGCATCTGAGAAGGGAACAAGGAGACAGGACAAAACAGAATTTCCTATTGTCTTAGATTTTTTTTACTTTATGCAGAATTGTTTTACAAGACCTCATAAACCAAGACTGAAAATGTGGTCTAAGTGGAAAGAGGACCAATAAGTTTGCCCTAGAAACTCATGAATGAACTGTTGACATTTTTCCTATCAAGAAGTTTGCAAATGCCTTAAAAGCAATTCCAACAGAAGGACCTTTTGTTTTCCATTCCAATGAGTGCGTTTCTAGTTTAATCAATATATGGTGGTGAGGTTTCACGTTTTCCTCCCCATTCAGTTCACTTCCAAGCACGAATAACAAGAATTACATGACAATAATAATTAATCTGTTTTAAGATCCAAATTTTTCATCTCGTTTGTATTGTTCCATACCTCTGAGCAACTTTATGAAGGAAGTCGAACAGATAGAGCAGACAGGAGAAGTTTCTGGCTGGAAGCAGACAGGAGAGTAGCTGGAGTGCTGCCATCCTTTCCTTTGGGTCAGGCAGTGTCTGGGCGTTCAGCAGGGCATCATGCAGCTCAAGGGGAAACAGTGGCTCAGGAAGCTCCCTGCAAAACTGTTTCACAAGGGTGGCGACATCATAGGGGAGAGCCGTGGACAGAGACTCCTCCCCACGATTCAGCTTAGCCTAAACCAGGCAAAAAAAAAAAGAATATTCTTTTGTGCATTTTTGCTGTACAAGATAGTAAATAGGTACAATAGTTCCTGGTTTTCTCCTTCAACCATATATGATAGGAATAGAGGATACATCTTACTCTAAGGACCTTGATGCGAGTAAGAGAGCCTGGTTTTCTGAACAGGCCCACAGTGCCAATGCGGTCCAACAAAAGAGAGCAAGCATCCACTAAGAAACTAAGACATACAATTTGGAGTCAGACAGGTTGAACCATTTAACCCAGCTTTACAGTACCGTCTGCATCCTCTTACCAAGGTACGAGTCCATATTCTGGAATGTATCGTCTGGCCAAATTATCCAAAGGAACCCCGAACACCTTTGCTCCACTGTTTATCCATCTCCCTTTATTTCTCTTAAACTTCTTTACAGAAATCCCATAAAGAACTTGAAGATGAAATCGAATCACATTACTTTCTGAAATCTTCATTTCACAAGAAAACTGATATAAAACAAGCAATTTCTAGTTTGTCAAGTAGAAGCAGCTGAGACAATTCAGATGAGGACGCTTAAGAATGCTCGTCAGTATCACCTGGAGAAGAAGAGGATTGCTGTATTCAGGTGACAAGGAAAAAATTGTTCAAATAAGTTATCATCTTAAACTGGAGATAAATCTTTATCTTACCTTTTAAAAGTTTTACAGTCCAATGAAAAAAAATGCTGTCAAATAAAATGAGTGAAACTGTGTCATTTATTTCTATAACTCACATTCAGTGATTAGAAAGACATGATTCATAACTTTGAGGGACTTATGTGTAAAACAATTAAACTAAGCACACCCAGTGGAAAATATTAAATATACACAAAAATGTAGAATGCTAAATTTAATTTAAAAAACTTTTTAATGGGATTTTCTAAAGTCTTGATTGGTCAACAGTTCTTTTACAGTAATTATATCCCTGCTTTTTCTACTTTCTTTAACCTACTGCCTTTACTGTTTTAGCCAGCCAGCTGTTATAAGAATTAATATATTTTGAGCCCTAACCCAACTATCTATGCATTGCCACTAACTGGTAGGCATAATGTATTCTAGTATTTGAACATTTCCTATCAACTACTTTAAATACTCAGTTATCAAAGCAGGAACTAGGTGTGAGTCTGTTCAGCTGTTCCCTTCAGGGTGAAGTCACAACAGATCAAAACATACTTCCTATGATCTTACTATGGATACCCTGTGTAAAAAATATAGACTTTTCATACAGCTAGACTTAGACTTCTTTATTTGTCATTTTGTATGCACAGGGTGCATACAGAACGAAATTGCGTTACATACAGCTTATGAACGTTGCATTGATATTTCACAATGGCACGAGTTATAGAAAAATACAAAAAGTGCAGCAGTGGTCAAAGTGTGAACAGTGCAGAGGATAAGAGACAGTGTGCAAGTTGCAGTGGTTCAGTGCAAAATGGCATTTGTGCAAAAAATGCGTTATTGAAAAATACAATGAGATGAACAATTTAAAGGGCTAAAAGTTAAAAGTTCAGCAGCATTTGATGCCCGATAATGTGCAATAGGTGCAGAGTTCGGATTGTGGATCAAAGGTTCAACAGTCTGATGGCAGTGGGGAAGAAGCTGTTGCACAACCTGGTGGATCTGCAGCGGATGCTGCGGAACCTCTTTCCAGAGGGCAGCAGGGAGAACAGTCCATGGTGGGGGTGTGAGGGGTCTTTGATGATATTACGGGCTCGGGACACACAGCGCTGTGATGAAATGTCCTTAATGGAGGGAAGAGGAGCCCCAATGATTCCTTCCGCTGTCCTCACCACCCTCCTCACATTCTTCCAGTCAGAAGCTCTGCAGCCTCCACACCACAGAGAGAGACAGCTGGTCAGAACGCTCTCTATGGTGCTTCTGTAGAAGGTTGTGAGGATGGGCGGGGGCAGGCGGGCTCTCCTCATCCTCCGCAGAAAGTACAAGCGCTTCTGTGCCCTCTTCACTAGAGATGAAGTGTTTACAGTCCAGGTGAGGTTGTCCGTGATGTGCACCCCCAGGAACTTTGTGCTGCTGACCACCTCCAGCTATACCACAGAGGGACATTAAAGATGGAATTAAAATGAATTGTAATGATGAACAGGGCCAAACGACCATCTCCTGCCACGTGAAAAGTTTGCTCATTTTTATAATATTTAAATTTTGGTAATTTTGTAGAAAACCATTTCAGTTTCAATAAGGAAATGCTTGATAACTTTGGAAGTTTAATTAGTACCTCTCTCAGCAACAGAATAATAAAATATTTTAATACAATAATAGTTTATCGTAGGGAGATTTAGTCATGTAGCTTCCAACAGATGTATCATTAACTGGTCACTCACTTATTTTCTATCATCAGGATCAGGTTTCATTGTATTCTTCTGGCTCCAAGTGGGATGGAGGCAAAAATTACCATCAGATAAATATGAAATATTGTAAAACTATTGATAGTTAAAATTTTTTGTCATTTATCAGACTACGTAACTAAAACAAAACTGATTTAAAACTGATAATAGTTACTAAAAGGGTATGAAATGCTTTGTTTGGAACCTATGAATGGACAAAGATGTTTCTGACTTTTCAATCGGTTTATTTACTGTGGTACCTTTTTGTGTTTTTGCATTGTTTTGCATATAAAATAATGATTTTTTTTTTTATCCAATCACTGATGTTTAAACATCTGAATATGGAATATATTTTAAAATGCTGCTTTTTAAAATCTTTTAAAATCAAATAACTACTAAGAACATCTTGTCAGCATTAGCTTAAGAAATGAGCTGGTGGCTGAAATACCTTTCTTTAAAAGCAAACAAGTTGGTGGAGTGGTCACTATTATTGCAAAAATGTTTTTAAGCATTTTAATTCTATCAGGCACCAATTTTTTAAATCAAGAACAGTTCAACTGAAACATCATTAGTCCGACTTTTTTATTTTCTTTAGTCAAACTGTTTTTAATATTCTCTTTTTGTTTCTGCATTTTCTATTTTATTTTTTTTCCTACTTGCTTTGATTTTATTTTATTTCCCTATATTTTAATCATGTAAAGCACTTTGCATTGTCTTTGTACTGAATTGTGCTATTCAAATAAATTTGCCTTGCCTTGTCTTGCCTTGCACTTGTATGAAACAATAAAGGCGACCAAAAAATAATTCTACAAAGACAAAAACTTCCCGTCTCTGTATTGCATTTAAAAAACTATTTATTATGACAACAGTTCATGTATATACATCACAAAACAGTAGAAATAACAATATGGAAAGTAAACTAGTTTGGTTGATGGTTTGTTTTTGGTTTGGCGGTTTAGAAGCACTTCCTGTGGACGATGGAGGGGCCGGCCTCATCGTACTCCTGCTTACTGATCCACATCTGCTGGAAGGTGGACAGAGAGGCCAGGATGGAGCCACCGATCCAAACGGAATATTTCCTCTCAGGAGGAGCAATGATCTGCAAGGAGTGAGGATGAAATAAAAAAAAGTGAGTGACCATAGAGGTATATCAGAACAGATGATAAATGCACACACAAAAAAAAAAGAAAAATCATGCTGACCTTAATCTTCATGGTGCTTGGGGCCAGAGCGGTGATCTCTTTCTGCATACGGTCAGCTATACCAGGGTACATTGTGGTACCACCAGACAACACGTTGTTGGCATAAAGGTCCTTTCGAATATCAATGTCACACTTCATGATGCTGTTGTATGCTGTCTCATGGATGCCTGCTGACTCCATACCTGAAAAAATGTAGAGAAAGAAAGGGGTTTAGCTTGTGTGGTTAATTAAATAAAAACTTTTAAATAGTTTACAGCAAATGCATCTCCATAAATAATAAACAAAATAAAACTAAAATACATCTTAATTATAACAAACTGTAGATATTCTTTCTATAATGACCCTTTTTTAACAATTGAGCATGGTAGCTTAATTTTTCCAGTGTGCTGTGTATAAAGAGGGGCTCAAATTTCAGCTTGTTTCTTTGTTTTCACGGTGGGTCATGGCTTACCGATGAAGGAAGGCTGGAAAAGGGTCTCTGGGCAGCGGAAACGCTCGTTGCCGATGGTGATGACCTGCCCATCCGGAAGCTCGTAGCTCTTTTCCAGGGAGGAGGAGGAGGCAGCCGTGGCCATTTCATTCTCAAAGTCCAGTGCTACGTAGCACAGCTTCTCCTTGATGTCTCGAACAATCTCACGCTCAGCTACACAGATAGACATATCTCTATTCAGTCAAAAAGCATCATAAAACCTTGATCATTTTAAATTCTGATAAACTAAATGATCCCAATTGGTTTAATTCAGTTGTAAGATTATTTAATCACCCAACAATTTTTATCCTCCTAATTTGAGTTGAAAACTAAATTAAACAAAATATAACCAAATATGCAAAGCTTAAGTACTTATTATAGAAGCTAACTTTAGGTGCAATCATTAGCTTTTCAGTTAAAACTTGTTTTTCTTGTAGTAATCTGTCCATGTTTGGAAAATCTTTTAAACTAGCCAGAAAAAGGGGGTTCCCCAAAATCTAAAATGTAATATGTTTTTGTCTAAAAGTTTAGGCTACGCTACATAAATCTCTTTTAGCAGTATATAGTTGTGAATTTTGTAGAAAATACAACTTTGAAGTAAGTTTCTTTTACTTTTAAAATAATTTTTTTAATGTTAACTATCCATAGTTGATTCATCACAATTTCATTTTACGGTTAAAGTTGGTACTTTCATCTTACCTGTTGTCACAAATGAGTAGCCACGCTCAGTCAGGATTTTCATCAGATAGTCTGTGAGGTCCCGACCAGCCAGATCCAGACGCATGATGGCGTGAGGCAGAGCATAGCCCTCATAGATTGGTACGTTGTGAGTCACACCATCACCAGAATCCAGTACAATACCTGTTAAAAACAGCTTTTTGTCATTCATCTGAAATGGGAGGTCTACTTTTATTGCAATGTTGCAGAGTTCCTGTAGAAAGGGACTCACCGGTGGTACGTCCCGAGGCGTACAGAGACAGGACCGCCTGGATGGCCACATACATGGCGGGGACGTTGAAGGTCTCAAACATGATCTGCGTCATCTTCTCTCTGTTAGCTTTGGGGTTGAGCGGGGCTTCAGTAAGCAAAGTGGGATGCTCCTCTGGGGCCACACGGAGCTCATTGTAGAAGGTGTGATGCCAAATCTAGAAAACATTAAACATCATTATTTGTCTTAATGTTTTAACCTCACATTCACTGTGGATTTGTTTGTATTTTCATTTCCCACCTTCTCCATGTCATCCCAGTTGGTAATAATGCCATGCTCAATAGGGTACTTCAGAGTCAAGATACCCCTCTTGCTTTGTGCCTCATCTCCTACGTAGCTGTCCTTCTGACCCATACCCACCATCACACCCTGTGAGGGACAGAAATTAATATTAGTTGCTTAAGATAAGTACTCTGATAGAAAATCACTACCTTGAGAAGGTGTTTTGCTTACCTGGTGACGGGGACGTCCAACAATGGATGGAAAGACAGCACGGGGGGCGTCATCCCCAGCAAACCCCGCCTTGACCAAGCCAGAGCCGTTGTCGCACACCAATGCGGTGGTCTCGTCATCGTCACACATGTTTGCTCTTTTTTCTTGGTCTCCTATAAAACAAAATATTTAGGAAGAAATTCTATGTATTAGTATAAAATGTTCAAATAGATGTTCCTGTTTTGTCAGGAAGCATAGTACATTGATTTTTTTTTAAACAATGTGACACTATTTTTGATATGCAGACACACTTGAGTGCCTTAATCTCCTCTTAAAGTCTTTCAGCTGTCTGAAAAGCCTGAACTGGATGCTGCCCCAATCCCCTCAAACAAACTCATATCTATTTTAAGCCTCTGGACCAACCGTCCTCCCACCCCCTCCACCCCTGCTCAGTATTTCCTTGTTAAGTCAGAAGCAGTTAACAGCTGATGCAGTGTGTCTTTTAACAAGTGTTGCAGGAGGCCTGGGTCTCCTCTCAGCTGTTGCTGCATAGTAAACTACTGTTTGGATCCAAACCATGTGCTCAGATCTTTCTGGGATGCATCCCAAGTACCAGCATCAGCACTTATTTAAGACTTTCCCAAGACACAAAACATCCTATGCTGCAGATGACTCACTGATTCTGGATGCTCAATAATGTTTCACTTAATCAGTACTTATTCAGAGCAACTGAGACTTAACGTTACTTTAAAATGTAAAATTAAGATATCATACGTGTCTATAACCACTCTA